CGCCCCGACTCCCCGGACGCCGCCGTGGCGAGGGAGGCCTCGCGGTCACGGCGCGCACCCGCCGCCTCGCCCCTCGCCCGGCCCGGCGTGCCCTTCCGCACCAGCTCCGTCAACTCACCGCGTGCGCGTCGCCCGGGCCCCCAGATCCCGGCGTGAGCATGGTGCCGGAGGCCCTGCCGGCAACAAAGCTGCCGGAGGCGGGAGCTTTGAGCGCTGCGGCGGCTGCACGTGAGCGGCGGGCGGCAGCGTCCGGAGAGGCTGCAGCCGGCGCGCGCCTCTGCCCGGCCGCCCGCACGGCTCTGCCTGGGCCCCGGCTCGGCCCTCCAGGCGCGGGAGGGGCGGAGCGTCGCGGAGGGTGCGGCTGGAGGCGGGGCGCGTGGGCAAACCAAAATACGCCACGCCCCACTGGGGCGTGTCTTCCGTTGCTGGCCAATCAGGACTCTGCCCGTACGCGGCCGGCCAATGGGCGCCGCGGGGAGCCGCGTGATCGGAGCCTGGCCGCGGCGTGATCTACCGGCGCGGGACGCTGCATGTGTTTTGGTCCGGGTTGGGGGCGGGGCCTGAGGCCTGGAAAGTAGGGGAAAGGTCCCGGCGGCGCGGCGGCAGAGATCTTCCGCTGGGTCCTCCTGGGGAGGCTGGGCTGAGGACAGCGATCGCCGGCGGGGCGGGTGGAGTGGACGCGCCTCATAGACGGGAGCCACAGGAAGGGCTCAACGTTGCCTTTAATCTCCGTTAAAGTGTCTTCGGCCCTTAAGAACGCATCCCTACCCTGGAGGTTTGAAAGCTGACTGGGTCTAGCTGGCGTCACTACATCCGCTCTTTCCCGCCTCGCGCCAGATCCGAAGCTTCAGTGTCTGGTCTTCTACGGCAGCTCGGTCTGCAGTTTGTCTGCATTAAAAGGAACACCACAGGGTAACCAACCACCTCACACGTAACCAGTGAAGCCCACGTATCCTTCCCAGTCGCTCAAATGCCACCCTCTTGCGGAGTCCTCAGGCCAGCATGAGAGCTGACCCAGTGCCCAGAGCTCCTTTTTTTGCCCAGGGTCTCCGGGTGTGGTTATCCATGTACACAGCTGGGAGATCTTAGAGAGCAGGAGCAGGAGTCATACAGGGTTTGTATCCTCTAAACCTACAATGTAGCAGTTGCCCCTCCAGCACTTCCCCTGAGTCCTCACTACAAAACCCTGACACTCGGACACTACACTACGAGCAGAAAAGCTCAGCAGGAGCCTGGCTTCATGCTGCCTGGTCTCATCAAGTAAGTAGTCAGATTCCTGCCCTCATGGTGGCAAGTCTACTGAGGTGAGCGGAAGGGTCTTGCCGGCTCCGTATCACAGGCTAACACTGGTAACAGAGGGATTAAGTAGACCAAAGAGAGGGTGTTTGTTAAAAATAACAGTAGGAATGTTTAGAGATGAATCAATCATGTTTAACTGCTTGGGTGAAGATCTGGGGAGTTTCTGGGAAGAGTCCTAGTGATTTTCACACGGAAGTTAGTCTTCTACCCAGACTTGTTTATTCTGTTTTGCCTGCTGCCCCATTGGCGTTCTGACACCTCGTTCTGTCTCCTCGTGTTCACTCCTGCTCACATCATCCATTCCCCACCCAGTGTCCCTAGTCATCTTTAAACCTTGCAGTGGCTCCCACAGTGCTTAAGATAATGCCCCCAATCTCTCTGATGGCTTCTGAGCTCCTGCAGAGATATGTTCCCGCAGCTCCAATTTCATCTCTCCTCTCTCCCACACCTAGCTATGTGGTTGCTATAGTTTATGACTCAATCTCAAAAGTCATATGTTAATAATATTTGGAGATGGAGCCTTTTGAAGGTGATTAGTAGTAAGGAAGACCAAGGGGTTTTAATAAGAGGAAGAGAGTCTAGCTAAACTTGCTTACTGTCTGGCTACATGATGCTCTCCACAGTGTTATGATGCAACAGGAAGACCTTCATCAGATATGCAAATACCAGTGCCATACTCTTGAGTTTGCGGAACTGTCAGCCAAGTCAGCCTCTGTAGGAGAAGGGGAGATGGTTCAGCTGGTAAAAGAGCTTGCTATGCAAGCATGAGACCTGTGATTGATTCCCAGAACCCAGGTAGAAAGCTTGTAATCTCAGCGCTGGGGAGGTGGAGACAGACAGATCCCAGGTCAGTGAGCCTAATAATCAGACCTCCGGTCCCAGAAAGAGACCAAAAACAAGTTGGGTATGGCAATGCACACCTTTAGTCCCAGCATTGGGGAGGCAGAGATAGGCTGATCTCAATGAGATCAAGGCCAGCCTGGTCTATATAGTGAGTTCCAGGCCAGTCAAAGCTACATAATGAGACCCTGTCTCAAAAAAAGCAAAGCAAAACAAAAACAAGGTGAGTGGCTCCTAAGGAATGACACTAGAGGTTGACCTACACATGCACACACATGTACATGTCCACACAAGTGGTTGACCACACACACACACACACACACACACACACACACCCCTATATAAACTCCAATGTCAGGTGTTTTTGTTACAACAGAAAATAAGGGTCAATACTTTCTCTAGGTTACCTTTTACATCAATTGCTGCTGCTATTATTTATTTGTTATAGCATTTATTATTTTCTTGATGTATCTTGTAATCTTACTGGCAATCCCTATCCCTACCAAGCCCCTCCCCCCAAATCCTCTTCCAGTACACCTATGGACACAAGCTAACCTCCATGTTCTCCCTCTCTGCAATCTCCACCTTAGCTCTGCACAGCACCTTTCCTGTCTGCAGGTCTAGAGGGTCTGCAGCTTTCCCATTTGTTTGCTATCTGTCTCCTGTCATAGGGAGCTTAGCTGATTTGCTCATATCAACACAGGGTAATTGTTGATTGAATAAATGAAGGCCAACACCCTGCATGCTTCTCTACATGAGCACCCTACAGGTACCTCTAATCTAAATTTGTAAATGTCCTTGGATGTGAACTCACATTTACTCAAGTCTGATTTCCTAAGTTCCAAGTAAGGCACCCCTGGATATCCTGCCTCTTGATCTAGAAATGTGACTTACTTTTGACCCCTCCCTTTCCCACATTTGTTCACTTTCACCAATTACATCAAGCTGCCTTTCCTCCTAAACACCTCTCCAACTGTCACTGTCTCCTACACTTGGCCAGGCCACTGCTCTGGCATACCTGAATGATAGCTACTGCCTCCCAGTGGGTCTCCCTACTTCCAGCCCGATACCCTGTCACCTGTCCCATACCACTAGAAAGATCCAGAAGTGAAGAGAGTACCAAACCCAAACATACATCCTAAGTTGAAATCTAGTTAGGAACAGAATCCTCAAAGTTAGCCAGGAATCCTTGACTCTTTCAGGCTGGACTCCAGTCAGCATCCTGCATCTTTCTCTCCTGAACTCTTTTGCCTTCCTGCCTCCCTGCCACAATCCCCCTGCCCTCGTGTTCCTGCACAGAACTGTGGGCCCTGGTATTAGGTCAAATCATTGTCTTTGCTTTGGGGTGATATTACTTCTGTCTAGAAAGAAACAGTTATTGCCTGCTTTGACTTTCTAAGTCTGCAGTGTGGTTCCCTACCTCCTTCCACCAACAGCTGGACAGCTCCGCGCAAGGCCAGTGCATGGGCTCTGAGTTGACTTGGAATCAAATCACTTCTCTGGCAATGTGACTTTGGCCAAGTCCTGCAGTCTATCTGCTTCATTCTTATAGGACAGAAGGCAGCAGCTCTCTGGGACCTGCCTGGAGCTCATCTCATTCCAGACTATTGCTATTCTCTAGGCAGCAGGGATACCTAGGAACATGACTCCAAGCATAAGCCCCTGCTCTGCCCACATCTAGCCCATCTTCCAGATAGCCAAGCAGATCATGGTTGCCATCAAACGCCCTGATTGTGACCTGACTCATCTTCAGAGGGATAGTGACATGTTTGTAAGTTGAATGACCTGATAAGACCCTTGTCACCACAAATTCTCAGAGAGTGTGGTCTAGCAGGTAGACTAGACATAGCTACAGATAACAGTTTTATATAAAGAGCATGTTCCCTCAGGCCAGAATGCCCACTCTCATATATTGCAGTGGGTCTCTATATGTGCACACATACTCTGCATAGACAATAGCATAATGTGCACCTTTGGAGCCTGGTTTGTTGACTTCACAATATGTCTTGGAGGTTATTGCATATCAGTCCATAAAAACCAAGCCTGTTCTTTGTAATGGTTAAATAATACTTTGCTATATGGATGTATTATGATTTGTTTACCACTTCTGGTTGAATAATCAGGCCATCTACATTATTTGACCTTTCCCAGTATATCCTGCCCACCCATCATTTGCCCACACAGGATCAGTTCCTAGAATGGGAATCACTGGATTAACTGCCTTGAGCATCTCTGTCTCCTCCCTTCCCCTCTTCCCTAGCTCCCCCTCCTCTCTCCTCTGTCTCTGTGTGAATTTTATTGATGCATAGCACAGTTATAGGAAAACACAGGAACTCATATGTACAACTCAATGATTTGCACAGATTGAACTCATTATACCACCAACACCCAGATTAAGAAACTCTATTAGCAGAACCCAGGATCCCCCTCTAGCTTCCTCGAGCCACCACTTGCATCCTTCCTGACCGTTATGGCCTCTAACATCATTGGTTGGTTTTTCACGTATTGAAATTTTTACAAAGAGAATCTATAGTATATACAATTTGGGGTTGTTTCCTTCACTCCGTGTGCTGTCACGTGCATTTGGGCTTTGTGTGTGTGTGTGTGTATGCATGTGTATGTGTGCATTGGAGATAAGATGTCAACCTTGGGTGTCCTTCCTAGGAGCCATCTACCTTAGTTTTTGAGATAAAACCATCTCCTATTGGGACCTGGGGATCACCAATTAGGCTGACTGGTCAGTGAACCACAGGGAACTACCTGTTCTTGCTTCCTTTGTGCTGTGATTACAAGTGTATGCCACAACACCCAACTTTTTACATGGGTGCTGGGGATTGAACTTGGGCCCCTGTGCTTGCACAGCAAACATTTACAGATTGAACTATCTCCTCAGCCCCCATGTTTTCTTTTTAGAATCCTTATTGCTGTAGTGTAAATTTCACCACTGTGTTTTGGCCCGTTCTTCTGTTGAGAGACATTAGGATTGTTTCCTATCCACTGATGTAGATAAAACTATTATAAAAATTCTGATACAGAAGCCAGGTGTGGTGGCACATTCCTGTAGTCCCAGCACTCTGGAGGCAGAGGCAGGTGGATTTCTATGAGTTCAAGGCCAGCTTGATATACATAGCGAGCTCCAGGCCAGCTGGGGCTACTGGGAGACCCTGTCTCAAAAAGACTACCCACCCCGCCATTTT